ATTTCTTAGCCTCTATGCACTATTGTCCTCTGATATATACAATCAACTTTCTGGTGGAGACAAGTTTCTGTTACTCCTGGAATCCATATTATTTCTTTTTAACACAGAAATCTACTTTTATGCTGCTGAAAATTTCAAGGGAAAATTACCTAACTCTTCAGATAGGTTGTGCTATGCAGTCATAGTTTCCAATTTATACTGTGCCTTTAATTTTGCTAATTTTTCTATGTGTTGCCCATTAACTACCATTCCCCACAGTTTTCCTTCATCAATATCTCAATATGCACTTGCAATGCTCTATCTTATGTACCATCTCTTCATTATTTTGTACTACTGACCACTGCTCCCTTAGTGTAATCCTGTCCTCCATTGGACTCCATGAAAACATTCTAGTCTGATTTCCTCAGTGTTTTTAATGTGCAGCTCTTCATCAATATTCCTTTTCATATGAATGTTGTTTTAGGTGGAGTTCCAGCTAGGCTGCACTGACAGAGAGACCCAAATGCATTAGTTCAAGCAAGCTGGAAGTTTGGTTCTTTCTTTCTCATAGAATGGCCCAGAGGTTGGTGATAGTCCTGAGTGAATAAGAAGGTCGTCCAGCAATTTAGTTTTGTTTTTTCTTCTTATTTTAACATATCCCTTGAGTGTTTCTTGTCCGACTCGCTCACCATTACTTCCACATTCCAGCCAGTGGGAAGGGAAAGGAGAGAAAATAAAAGGGCAAGCAAATTTATTTTTAATGAGGCAATGTGAAAATTGAACATATCCTTTCTACTTATATTACACTGGTCATAATTTAGTCATGTGTCCGTACACATTTACCTGCAGAGGTAATTGAGAAATGTAGTTTTTATCTGGGTAGGTAAGGGCCTTGCCAAAACTGACAGTGGGCCACTGTTATAGGAAAGAAGAGAATACATACTGGGAGATGGCGATGTTTGCCAGAATGAGTCTTGAAATTTAATATTTGTTCATTTATGACCTCACTTTACATATTTTCCTATATGATATAAGCAACAACTCGAACTATATAACTCATAAACTAACCCATCTCCAGTTCTAATCTCTCACAATTTCTATAAATATCTAGGAATTTGTTCCTTTCACCATTTCCAAAACTGAATGGGGATACTGAAAATAAGGTATAATCATGAAAAATTTTCCAGGGACTCTTCTTAAATGATCTCCAGAAACATATACTATTTTAAAAATCTATCCCTTCATAATACAATTATGTCAAACATATTTAATTTTTTAAAAATAAATAATAAATTGGAGATGATTAAGTTCACAATATAGAAAGATAATTTTGTGATTAGTGTAAACAAATAACATGTGTTAGAGAGACTAGAGCCAGAGAAATTAGCTAAGCAGTTATGACAATTTGGGTGAGAAATAATGAGGGCATGAAATTATTATTGCATCAGTTGGGAATGGGTAAGTACTGAAAAAGTCAGGAGTAAAGAAGGAAACCCTCAAAGGTCTTGGTGAGAGATTCAGTCACACTATGAGAATGAAGGAGCCAAAATGAGTCAAAGGATTGTACTTCAGAAAATTGAGTAGTGTGAATGGGGAGAAGTTTGGGTGGAGAGCAGGATCTATTAACACTGTGCTATCCTACCCTTTGGTTCTTGCTGTTCTTCTTATTCACTTGACTTCAAAAGAAAGGGCTGATTGGCTGGCAACGATGTTCTATAGAACTGTGAAGCCAGGGATACCTCATGAGGCAAATGTTGGAAAACCTCCATTTTCTTTCCAAGAAATATATTTTAAAATTTCTTCTTTGAGAGCAATATTTTACAATTCTTCCTAATTTTCTTTGAAGTTTCACATCTTAAAAATCATATTATTTCTGGTGGTGGTGAGGATGTAGAACATTACTAGGAGAGAAATAATGTTCTGTTCATTACCACTATGCCTGATATTGAATATTTATCCTTATATGCTTTACTCTGTTTTTCCCAAGAATATAAATTGGATCAACCTTGAAGTCCACAGTAAATACATCAGATAAATATAAAAACAAGTATTTGTTATAGATTCCACATTTGAAAGTTGTTAAGAGAGTAGATCTTAAAAGTTTTCATCACAAGAAAAAAAAGTAACTGTGGGTGTTAATGGATGCTAACTAAGCTAACTAAAGAAATTGAGGTGATCATCTCACAATATATGCATATCTCATTATTTTGTGTACCTAACACTAATATAATTACGTTAATTGTATCTCAATAATTTTTTAAAAATACCGAATGAGATAGAATAGATATGTATGTGTGTGTATATATATATCTATATTTGTGTGTGTATATATATATATATATATATATATATATATACTCTTTTAAAAATGATTCTACAGAGGATTTTATAGAAAACTTAATGTTACTGCAGTTGCATTGCTGCGATTGGCTCCCAGGAGCCTGGGGTGTGCCAAATCCCATCAGTGTCCCAGAGGTGGAGAAAATGCCCACATGCCTGTTCTGGCTTCCAGAGGACTACCCATTGTCTGCCCTGCAGCTCGCAGATGCAAGCTACTTGGAAGCTGACCTCCTGGCAGAAGCTGGGAAAGCTGAGACATTAAATATGCAGTTTAGCCCCTATTGGGGAAAAACTGGGAGCTGGACATTTTTGCCTATTCTCTCTATGCTGAGCCAAGAGTCATAGCTGCTGGGAGTGCATTTGCGTCCTTATAGAATTGCCTCTTTTTCTCTGTGGTTGGTCTTAGGAGACTCACTAATGTCAAGCTCCATCACCTGCCAGGGATAGGAGATTTAGGAGCCAGTCGCTCACATGACAGCTGTAGAACTCAGGGGGCTAGATGTGTGGACAAAGTCCTATCTGGGAGAAGCTGAAGTTTTGGTTTTATTGCTGGGGTGAGCCATGGGAGAGAAGGTTCGGGTGGTTCCCATATATCTGCTCCCAGATGCAGTCTGATTAGAAGCTTGACCCTTGGGCAGCACCTGGGAAAGTTTGCTCTCCAATGCCTTCCAGGGAGGAACAGGGAGCTTGGCATTTTTGCCAGCTTCTTCTAGGCTGGGCCCAAGGGGAGAGTCATGAAAAGTGCTTACTGCCCAGTTGAAGAGCTGCATGTTTTTTTTAATGAGACCCTAGGAGCTTATGAATGTCATGCCCTTGTCTCTCCAGGGTGTTGATTTGGAAGCCAGTCCCTCAGATGGTGGTCATTAACCTTGAAGTGCGGGAGAAACTAG